AGTATTGTCTTATTGTGACTACTAGCCTACACACAGATTTCAAGGTCCTATTTGGGGTCTCCTTTCCTTCTCCTGATAACTCTCTCTCTCTCTCTCTAAATAATCTGATCAACTTCCAAATTAAATAGCACATATAGGCTTCACAGGCAAGTGACCTGTACAGTTACCTGGAGGTCTCTGTGTTTGGTTTGATGTTATCCTCTTGACATATGGAAGTTTTTAATAATTTTTTAACATGAGGATATGTATTTTCATTTTGCACTGGGTCCCACCAATTATGTAACCAGTCCTGCTCCCAGATCTGTAACTTTACCCTGGACTATTCTTTTGAGCACTTGTCTCATATACCCAGATGTCTACTTGGCATCTCCACTTGAATTATTTCAAGACATGCCAGGCTGGGCATGGTGGCTCGCGCCTGTAATCCCAGCACTTTGGGAGGCTGAGGTGGGTGGATCACGAGGTCAGGAGTTCGAGACCAGCCTGACCAACATGGTGAAACCCCATCTCTATTAAAAATACAAAAATTGGCCGGGCACGGTGGCTCACGCCTATAATCCCAGCACTTTGGGAGGCGGAGGCGGGTGGATCACGAGGTCAAGAGATCGAGACCATCGTGGTCAACAAGGTGAAACCCCGTCTCTACCAAAAAAAATACAAAAATTAGCTGGGCACAATGATGCGTGCCTGTAGTCCCAGCTACTCGGGAGGCTGTCAGGAGAATTGCCTGAACCCAGAAGGCGGAGGTTGCGGTGAGCCGGGATTGTGCCATTGCACTCCAGTCTGGGTAACAACAGCGAAACTCCGTCTCAAAAAAAAAAAAAAAAAATACAAAAATTAGCCAAGCATGGTGTTGCACACCTGTAATCCCAGCTACTCAGGAGGCCGAGGTAGGAGAATCACTTAAACCTGGGAGATGCAGGTTACAGTGAGCTGAGATCACGCCCCTGCACTCCAGCCTGGGTGACAGAGTGAGACTCCGTCTCAAAAAAAAAAAAAAAAAGACTTTTACCCAGCTTACATTTATGTCCTGGGAGTCACGTTATTGTTTCCAGAGGGGCTGCATAACCGGGCTCCGATTCCCTGCACATTTCAGTAGTGTGATGTAAGGCCTAAAATTAGGATTAGGTTCTGTCTTGACATCTAGTAGAGCTTGGTGTGGGGGGCCTCCACTGGCCTGACTGCAAGTTTCCCTCCCCACTCTGCTCCGGTGGATAAGATCCTCTCGCCAGATAACCCTCACTATCAAATGGACTAGGTGCAATACCTGCTTATTGCTGAGTAGCAGGTTTCAATTCCCATTGAAGTATTCAAACAAGCCAATCACAGCCTTCTTAGAGAATCAGGAAGCCCGTCACCCTCTTGATACCACAAAGCTTGCTCCTTCCAGCCCCTGACAGTTCCCACTTCCCCCGGGTGTAACCCCCATGTGGCTCTGTGAGAAGCAGAGTCTTCCCCCACCTGAATCTATGTGACTAATAAACTACTGTGGATCTCATCTGCCCAGTGTTGGGTGTTATGGGTTTGGCCATCCCCATAACTCTAGCACAAGAATCCCTCCCTCCCCAGTAGGTAAGTAGGAGGTGATCAAAACAAGTAGTTTAATTTTCAGAGGGTATATCGGCCAGGTGCAGTGGCTCACTCCTGTAATCTACACACTTTGGGAGACCAAGGCAGGCCAATCGATCACTTGAGGCTGGGAGTTCGAGACCAGCCTGGTCAACGTGGTAAAATCCTGTCTTTTCTAAAAATACAAAAATTCGCTGGGTGTGGTGGTACATGCCTACAATCCCAGCTACTCAGAAAGCTGAGGCATGAGAATCACTTGAATCTGGGAGGCAGAGGTTGCAGTGAGCCAAGATTACACCACTGCACTCCGGCCTGGGCAACAGAGTGAGACTCTGTTTCAAAAAAGAAAAAGCTTTTTTTAAAAATATTTTTTCATTTTTTTATCTATTAGTTAGGTGCATGTTCGGGTATCAAAGACCCAATAGAGGCCAGGCGTGGTGGCTCACGCCTGTAACCCAGTACTTTGGCAGGCCAAGGAGTGCAGATGACAAGGTCAGGAGTTCAAAACCAAACTGGTCAATATGGTGAAACCCCATCTCTACTAAAAATACAAAAATTAGCCGGGCGTGGTGGCGCACACCTGTAATCCCAGCTACTCAGGAGGCTGAGGCAGGAGAATTGCTTGAACCCCGGAAGCGGAGGTTGCAGTGAGGCAAGATCACACCACTGCACTCCAGCTTGGGTGACAGAACAAGACTCTCTCAGAAAAAAAAAAAAAGACCCAATAGAGTAGTTTAAACAAAACAAGTCTGTTCCCCTCCACAGTGAAGCAGCTCATTCCTCAAAGCCTTCAGAGGCCCGGCTCTTCTATCTTGTAGCTCCCCCACCCCTAGGACATGGCACTGGCCACATGGTTCTTATGCTGTAATCAGTGCATCTCACTTACTGGGATGTACCTGTTTACTTTATCCCCATGAAAAGAACTGCAAATGCCCCCAACTCCATGACTTAAGACCAGTTATGCAAGCTCAAAAATTAGATGTCTCAACATATTTCACAATCTTAAACCTGAAAGCAGTTGGGACACTCAGCCCCTCAAATGAAGTCTAGCAAGGTGACAGTATAAAATTATGGTTAAGAAAGCAAATTCTGGCCAGGTGCACGGACTCACGGCTGTAATCCTAGCATTTTGGGAGGCAGACGCAGACAGATCACCTGAGGTCAGGAGTTTGAGACCCAGCCTGGCCAACATGGTGAAACCCCATTTCTACTAAAAATACAAAAAAACTAGCCAGGAATGTTGGCACACACCTGTAGTCCCAGCTATTCGGGAGGCTGAGGCAGGAGAATCACTTATACCCGGGAGGCAGATGTTGCAGTGAGCCAAGATCATGCCACTGCACATCAGCCTGGGTGACAGAGCAAGACTCCAACTCAAAAAAAAAAAAAAATTAAAAAAAATTTAGAAATGCAAATTCTGGCCAGGTACCATGACTCATGTCTATAATCCTAGAACTTTGGGAGCCAGAGGCAGATGGATCACCTGAATTCAGGAGTTCAAGACCAGCCTGGCCAGCATGGTGAAACCCCATCTCTACTAAAAATACAAAATTAGCCGGGTATGGTTGCGGGAGCCCATAATCCCAGCTATTTGGGAAGGCTGAGACACAAGAACCACTTGAACCCAGGAGGGTTCCAAAATGCTAGGATTACAGGCGTGAGTCCCTGCACCTGGCCAGAATTTCCTTTCAGAGGTTGCAGTGAGTTTCCAGCCTGGGCAAAAAGAGGGAAACTCCATCTAAAAAAAAAACAAAAAAGAGAATTTGTGTTGTGATGGATATGTACACCTAACACAGAGCTGGGCACAGCGTAGGGATTCAGTGAATGGTAGATCTGGTACTCCTTACCCCACTTGCCCAAATAATTTGAAGGGGGTAGTAAATATCCACGATCTGGGGAAATTTTGATATAGTGTTTATGACAGTGAGATGTGTAAGTATAGATACATTGAAAATGGCAAAACCAGGCCAGGCGCGGTGGCTAACTCCTGTAATCCCAGAACTTTGGGAGGCTGAGGCAGGTAGATCTCCTGAGCCCAGGAATTCAATGAAACCAGCCTGTGCAATAAAGTGAAACCTTGTCTCTACAAAAAAATGCAAAAATTAGCCAGGCATAGTGCTGCATGCCTGTAATCGCAGCTACCAGGGAGGCTGAGGTTGAGGCTGCAGTGAGCCATGATAATGTCAGTGTATTCCAGCCTGGGTGACAGAATGAGCTGAAAGAAGGAAAGAAAGGAAGAAAGAAAGAAGGGAGGGAGGGAAGGAGAGAGAGAAAGGGAGGAAGGAAGGGAAGGAGAGAGAGAAAGGGAGGAAGGAAGGGAGGGAGAGAGAGAGAAAGAAAAGAAGAAGGAAAGAAAGGAAGGAAGGAGAAAGAAAGGGAGGAAGGAAGGGAAAGAGAAAAGGAAGAAAGAAGGGAGGGAAGGAAGGAGGGAAGGAGGGAGAAAGGAGGGAGGAGAGAGGAAGAAAGGAAGAAGAGGAAAAGAAGGAAGGTAAGGAAGGAAGGGAGAGAGGGAGGGAGGAAGGAGAGGAAGAGAGAAAGGAATGAGTGAGAGAGAAAAAAAGAAAGAGGAAGAGAGGGAGAAAGGAAGGAAGGAGTGAGAAAGAAGAAAGTGAGAGAAAGGGAGGGAGGGAGGGGAAAGGGGAAGGGAAGGGAAGGGAGGGGAGGGGAGGGGAGGGGAAAAGGAAATGGCCAAGCCTATATGCGACTACCTTATGTGACTACCTTAAAGGGGATTGTTGTGAGGATCGAATTAAACGAGTTAATGTGTGTTAATGTTTACCACCGTACCTGCCACATAACAACACTGTGAGTATGAGCTATTATAATCATTATGGTCATCATATCTACAAGAGATTGGTATTATTTACTTGTCCTTGGAAGAGCCTGTGGGCATTTGTTATTTGCTGGTATTTAAATGTAAAACATAATAATGTGACATTGTTCCTCTCTCTCCTAATAGAGTTTCCATGTATGAGATCATTGGAATTGTACTGCCCCCATTTGTGACCACTGAGTGAAACTGGCAATTGCTCACATAGTAAAAGGGACACACACGGCCATGCAGCTGTGCTAGAAAACAAGGTCAAATTTTTTAAGAGTTCCTGACTATCCAGGATTTTTTTTTAAAGCTTCTCTGTAGAATTTTCAGTACAAAAATAGGTGTGAACTGTGTGCACTTTGGAAAGGCATGAGTTGGCCGCTGTCGGACTAAGACTGATAGTGTTCAGTGAGCCAAATTCCTGTTCGCTGATGTTTTGGGTTGGGCTGACCTTATGAACTGTATTTCATTTCAGATGGGTGTATTTTTCCTTATTGCAAATTTCCTTCAATTCATCAGCAGAGATTCTAGCCACTCTGCTGGGAGTTTGTGATCCTGGTTTGAATGGCTTATGAACTTGCCTTTCAACAAACGTTTATTTATTTTTTTGTAGTTTCTGCTTGGCACTGCCCACTTTCCCTCTGGGACACCATCTTAGTCTTCTGTCACCATCCTCTGCTTTTGTCCCTGCTGAATCACTTCCTCTGGGTCACTTGAGACTTTTCTCCTGTAGAAGAATCTCATCTTCATCAACAACCAAGTTGAAAAAGACCTTCCTAGATTACTGCTTTACCACTCATTCAACGATTCCTGGGCTCCATAACTTGAATGCAATTCACACATCCACTGCTCTGTTTATCCATATTGTAAGGATTGCCATGGTGCTCCAAAGAGCATTGCATTTTCTAATACAATCTTCACTGGACCGTGGGTGCACGCAGGCCTAGGTTTTATCCATGGCGCTATCTGCTGCCTTAGAGAACTCACTTTTCTCTGGATTTTCCTATCCACAAATGTCTATTTTACTTATTTCTCTGTACCCTATCTTCTTACAAGAAAAATCTAAGGCCACTTATAAATATACAAACACTATAGCAAGATAAAATAAATTTGAAATAGAAACCACATAGCAAAAGGAAACTAAAGGTACAGAGGTTAGATGCAAGTCATGAAGGTTTTGCTATAGATGATATAAAAGTTGGCTCAGAAACTCCTGATAAGGCCAGGTGCAATGGCTCACACCTGTAATCCCAGCACTGTGGGAGGCCAAGGCAGGTGGATCACTTGAGCTTCAGTGTTCGAAACCAGCCTGGGCAACATGGCAAAACGCCATCTCTAAGAAAAATACAAAAATTAGCCAGGTGTGGTGGTGCATGCCTGTAGTCCCAGCTATTTGGGAGGCTGAAGTAGAAGGATGGCTTGAGCCTGAGAGGCACAGGTTGCAGTAAGCTGAGATCACACCACTGCACTCCAGCCTGGACAACAGAGCAAGATCCTGTCTCAAAAGAAAAAAGAAAGAAAGAAAAGAAAAAGAAGAATGAGAAAGGAGGAGGACAGTCTTGGGAAAGGCTAAGAAACACTCCCAGGAGGGGCTATAAAAGAGGGTTGAATAGGACATGAAGGAGTGGTCAAAGAGGGCCTCATTTAAATGCAGCCAAATGAACTTCTGTAGGTTCTTTGGCCCCATACTAACTTTGTATTTTGATGTGTGTGTGTGTGTGTGTGTGTGTGTGGTTTTTTTTGTTTTTGTTTTTTTTTAGATGGAGTTTCACTCTATAGCCCAGGTTGGAGTGACACAATCTCAGCTCATTGCAACCTCTGCCTCCCAGGTTCAGGTGATTCTCCTGCCTCAGCCTCCCAAGTAGCTGAGATTACAGGTGCATGCCACCACATTAAGCTAATTTTTGTATTTGTGGTAGAAACAGGGTTTCACCATACTGGCCAGGCCGGTCTTGAACTCATGGCCTCAAGTGATCCACCTGCCCTGGCCTCCCAAATCCTGGGTTTACAGGTGTGAGCCACTGTGCCAAGCCAGCTGTTTTTGTTTTAATAGACTTTCTTTTATAGAGCGATTTTAGGTTCACAACACAACTGAGCAGAAGGTACAGACATATTCCGAAGTTCTCCTCCCTTGTCCCCATGCTGCACCTAATCCCCCCATTCCCCCTTCCCCCGACCCCTGCCATTATCAACACTGCACACCAGATAGTACATTTGTTACAACTGATGAACCCACATTGACACATTATTACCCAAAACCCATAGTTTACCTTAGGGTTCACTCTTGGTGTTGAATATTCTGTGAGTTTTGACCACATGTATCTACCATCATAGCATCATACAGAGTAGTTTCACTCTAAAAATTCTCTCTCCAACCTAACCCTGTGTGCTTTAGCTTTTAAGAAAATTCTGTTGAGTCAGTTGTACATGCAAAGACATTGCCTAGCAAGGATGGGAATATTGGACATTAGATTTGCTTTCTTCTTTTTTTTTTTTTTTTTTGGCCAGCTTAAGTAGCTAAGATTTGCTTTCTTCACTACCAAGTTTTGCATAGTATCTCTTTGATTAAAATCTAATTTAGCTTCTTCCTATCAGGGCCCATCAGTTTACATTTCTTGATATAACTCAGGAGATGGATATTGTTTCCAACTAGAGAAAAAAACTTCAGCTTAGCGAAATAACTAAATTTATATTAATAAAACTCAGCTATTGTGGACATTATTTAATTGATGTTAATTTAAAGTTATACAGTGTTTTCATTTTTTGGTTTTTGGCAGAGTCTCACTCTCTCGCCCAGGCTGTAGTGCAGTGACTTGATCTCAGCTCACTGCAACCTCCGCCTGCTGGGTTTAAGTGATTCTCCTGCCTCAGCCTCCCAAGTAGCTGGGATTACAGGCACCCACCACCACACCCAGCTACTTTTTGTATTTTTAGTAGAGATGGGGTTTCACCATGTTGGCCAGGCTGGTCTGGAACTCCTGACCTCAGGTGATCTGCCTGCCTTGGCCTCCCGAAGTGTTGGGGTTACAAACATGAGCCATCCTGACTGTCCTACAGTGTTTTCATTCTGAAGTGCAACAAAATTAGCACATAATCAACACATGAATTTTCATAACTGTCCTGTGAAATGCACAAAGGGAGATCCAAATGAATCCAAGAAAACAGGGCTCACATGTTTCTACTACACATTAGAAGGGAATGGAAAAGGGAAGAGGATAAGGATGAGAATGAAAGTTAAAAAATATTGACAAATGTTAATGATGAAAACTTTAAACCCTGAAAAAGGAAGGATAATAATAGCTTTTTATCTGAGTCAGCTTTCAATTTGCACAGAATATCATCACCAAAAATATAAAAAGTTTTAAAAAAAGGAAAGAGAAAACATTTTTTCTTACTTCCCTTTTGTAGATTCACCAGTGTGGTCATTTGGCATCATTTCAAGTCAAAACAAATGCTTTCGTGTAGACCAAAGATCCCTGGTAAATTTTAAAATAAGATTTTCAAAAGTATTTTTTAACCAAATTTAAACATTTTAAACATTTTTTAAGACTTTCAAGAACTATCTGTTACTAAAAATAACATTGACCTTTGATATTTGTCTGGAGGAATCCTCTGGAGGAAAAAAAAGGATTTCATCCTGGAGATAAATGGGGCCAACTCATCTCTAGTCTTTGGTTAAATTAAACTCTTCCAGATGGAGAACATTCAAAGCAAAGGAATATTTCTGAGCCCCCTGGAATTATTAATAAACACAATAATATGTTACATGTAAAAGAAAATGTGTCCTTTATCTTTGAGGAAGTGTTTGGTAGCATTATAATTTTAAGTTTGACTATTAAAAAAAATGCTCTCATTTTATTCAACATTCAACAAACAAATACTGAGTGCTTGCTTTTCCCCAGTGCTAAGCACCAGACAGGACAGGGCCCCTGCCTTTATGGAATCTCACAATCCTACCAGAATTTACACTCTGCAGTGCCTGGCACATGGTAGAAACTGAGTAAGTATTTGTTGAATACATGAGTGAATGATATAGACACTTGAATAAGGAATTATATTCATAAAGGTTTGAACAAATTACTGTGGTCACAGGGAAGCATGGGAGCCTCAAGTTGTCAGAGAAGGCTTTGCAAAGAAGTTTGTCAGATAGGAGCAGGAAAGACTTGCAGACACAGAAAGTGGCACTTGCAAAGTCAGGGAGAGAAGAAACAGTAACATATTTAGGCAATGGCTAGTAATTTGGTGTGGTTGGAGAGTAACGTGTATATGGAATGTGCCCGGAAGGACTGAGACCGCAAAGATGGGTTGAGGCTCATTTGAGGAGAACCCTGAAAGCCTACTTAGTTTAGACTTGATCCTTCAGTATGTGTTGGTGTTTTAGAAAGATAACTTGAGACATAGTATTAGAGGATACACAGAAGGAGAGAAGGAAGGAAAAGATACCAAGGGTTAAGTGCCACGCTTATGTCCATCCCTAGGCTAGATCCTCTATGTATTTATATTAAACTCACTTATTCCTTGCAATACTCCCGTTGGGTACATAACATTGTCCTTATTTTCAGAGGGGAAAATTCAGAGGAATTAAACAATTTCCCCCAGACCACACAGTTAATAAAAAATGGGACTAGAATTTGAAACCAGAGTTCTAAAAAATCTTGTTGGAGAATAAAAATACCATTGGCGCAGTGGCTCACGCCTATATTCCCAGCACTATGGGAGGCCAAGGCGGGTGGATCACAAGGTCAAGAGATCGAGACCATCCTGGTCAGCAAGGTGAAACCCCATCGCTACTAAAAATACAAAAAAAATTAGCTGGGCATGGAGGTGCGCTCCTGTAGTCCCAGCTACTCAGGAGGCTGAGGCAGGAGAATTGCTTGAACCCAGGAAGCAGAGGTTGCAGTGAGCCGAGATCGTGCCATTGCACTCCTGTCTGGGTAACAACAGTGAAACTCCATCTCAAAAAAAAAAAAAAAATACCGTTGGACTCATACCAGTATTAGGGAAAATATACAGTAGAAGACTGGAGAAAGTGAATATTAAGAAAGACAGACATGCAAGACACAAGGGAAAAAAGCATTTCTATACAAAAGGAATTTACAGTAAGGAGATATAACACAGGAAGTGGAAAGATAATCATAGAAAAACCACAACATGTGTTTTTAAAATGCAAAGTGCCCGGGAAGAGAAAGCAAATGACACAATAATGCCATTCACTCTGGCATCCTGTGCATTTGGTTTTGCTCTTTACTTTTTTTTTTTTAACTTTAAACGATTTGTTATGAGAGTAACAAAGATACAGCTCATGATCTTGCAACTCTAAAGCTCTAAATCAGAAACAGATGGTACCTAGTGTACCCTGTTTCCTAGAAACCAGAATTTTGAAGACAGCACCCTCTCTGCACTGCACTGCTGATTTCAGTTCCTTCACAGATACTAATACACGGCTAAATAACGTGATTGCTGGGTATTATATTGGAACATCTGTTTTCCTTGCTGGGGAATCTTTTTGAAGGTTAAAACTTTTCTCCATTTGTATTCCTTTTTTTCTGATTCAAAAGGTGATTTCTTTTTATTGTGACAATTTTTAAAAATATGAAACAAAGAAGAAAATAAAAATCCCCCATTCCCTTCCCACCCAGCAGTAATGACCACTGTTAACATGTTGACAACATTCTTCTAGTTATTTTTCTGTACACACACACACACACAAACACACACTTTATAGAAAATGGAATGTATAGAAATTGTTTTCTAATCTGTTTTGTTCATTGAATGATAAATATTTTATATTTTTTCACATCATCAAATGTTTATGATAATTACTAGTATTCCATCATATTCAAGAATTTGATTATTTAACTCCCCTCTTTTTCATTTAACAAATTCTTTTTTTTGAGATGGAATCTCACTCTGTGACCCAGGCTAGAATGCAGTGGTGGTGTGATCTTGGCTCACTGCAACCTCTGCCTCCCAGATTCAAGCGATTCTCCTGCCTCAGCCTCCCAAGTAGCTGGGATTAGAGGCATACACCACCATGCCTGGCTACTTTTTGTATTTTTAGTAGAGACAGGGTTTCACCATGTTGGCCAGGCTGGTCTCAAACTCTTGACCTAGGTGATCCACTCACCTCGGCCACCCAAAATGCTGGGATTACAGGCAAGAGCCACCGAACCCAGCCTCATTCAAGAAATTCTAATTAACACCTACTATGTGTCAGAACTGTGCTTGACACTGGGTACACAGTGGTGAGTAAAACAGGCAAAGATCTTGTCCTCATGGAGTTTAAAGTCCTACATTGACCTCTAGTTTATTTTTCTTATTTAAAAAAAATAGCACAGTGAAATCTGGTAAACGTTACCTCAGCTAAGTGACTAAGCTTAACATAATCAGTGAAAAGTAATGTAGACAGTATGTACCCCTGCTGTGACAGGACAAGAACGGCACGCCACCTCTGTGGGCTTCCTCTCATAACCCCAATCCAATCATGATTTAAAAAAAACAGACAAAAGACATTCTATAAAATACTTGTTCAGTACTTCTCAAAACTGTCAAGGGGAATTCCAGACTACATTGGGCAACATAAAGAGATTCCATCTTTACAAAACATTGAAAAATTAGCGGGTCATGGTCGCATGAGCCTGTAGTCCCAGCTACCTGGGAGGCTGAGGCAGGAGGATCACTTGAGCCTGGGAGATTGAGGCTGCAGTGAGCTATAATCATGCAACTGCACTCCAGCCTGAGCGACAGAATGAGACCTTGTCTCTTAAATTTTTTTTAAAGAATAAAATATGGATTTTAGTTAATAGTAATGTATCAATATTGTTTCATTAGCCTGGGCACAGTAGCTCATGCCTGTAAGCCCAGCACTTTGGGAGGCTGCAGTGGGCAGATCACTTGAGCTCAGGAATTCAAGACAAGCCTGGCCAAAATGGTGAAACCCCATCTCTACCAAAAATACAAAAACTAGGCAGGCATGGTAGCAGGCGCCTGTAGTCCCAGCTACTGTGGAAACTGAGGCAGAAGAATTGCTTGAATCCAGGAGGTGGAGGTTGCAGTGAGCCAAGATCGGGCCACTGCACTCCAGCCTGGGTGCGACAGAGTGAGATTCTGTCTCAAAATAAAAAAATAAATAAATGTGTGTGTGTGTTTGTGTGTATGTTTTGTTTGTGTGTGTGTGTGTATATGTATATGCTGTGTGTGTGTGTGTGTGTTCATTAGTTGTGAACAATGTTTCATACTGTTACAGGCAGGAAAGGGGTCCAATCCAGACCCCAAGAGAGGGTTCTTGGATCTCACACAAGAAAGAATTCAGGGCGAGTCCACAGTGCAAAGCAAAAGCAAATTTATGAAGAAAGTAAAGTGGTGAAAGGATAGCTACTCCACAGACAGAGTAGGACGTTCCCGAAAGTAAGAGGAGGAACACATCCACCCTAGGTACAAAGCTTATATATATGGGGAGATGTGCTCTGCTACAAGGGTTTGTAATAAAGGATTAATTTTTTAAATTACTATATTTTGCAAAAGTCGATATTATTTTCTTTTTTATTTATTTATTTTTTGAGACGGAGTTTCGCTGTTGTTACCCAGCCTGGAGTGCAATGGCACGATCTTGGCTCACCACAACCTCCACCTCTGGGTTCAAGCAATTCTTCTGCCTCAGCCTCCCGAGTAGCTGGGACTACAGGCGCACACCACCATGCCCAGATAATTTTTTTATTTTTAGTAGAGACGGCGTTTCACCTTGTTGACCAGGATAGTCTCGATATCTTGACCTTGTGATCCACCTGCCTCGGCCTCCCAAAGTGCTGGGACTATAAGCGTGAGCCACCGCGCCTGGCCTGAGCCTCAGAATTTAAGACCAGCTTGGGTAACATAGTGAGAACCCTTTTTCTTTTTCTTTTTTTTTTTTTTGAGACAGAGTTTTGCTCTCGTTGCCCAGGCTGTAGTGCAATGGTGCGTTCTCAGTTAACCACAACCTCTGCCTCCTGGGTTCAAGTGATACTCCTGCCTCAGCCTCCCCAGTAGCTAGGATTACAGGCATGGGCCACCATGGCTGGCTAATTTTGTATTTTTAGTAAAGACGGGTCAGGCTAGTCAGTCTGGTCTTGAACCCATGATCTCAAGTGATCTTCCCACCTCGGCCTCCCAAAGTGCTGGGATTACAGGCTTGAGCCCCCTCGCCCGGCCCCTGTACCTTTTATCTTAGCAGTTTCCTAGTTGTGAATTAGGAAACCTAAAAGATATGAAGCCCAGCTGCCTCGTTTTACAGATGAGGAAACTGAGGCCCAGAGAAATGAAGTGACTTGCCAAGGCCAAGTGGTTAGTTAACAGTGGGAAGTGGAACCCATATTTCTGTTCGACTGCAATCCCTGCTGAACGGTCTGTGGGTTTGGCCAAATGAAGTAAAATTTTCCGGCTCGTGGTAGAATCAGTGACCAACAACCAGACCTGCATCTTTCTGTTTCCTGTAGGTAAATACAAGGGTTTGCTTCCTTTGTTTTGGACATGGCTGCTAGGAGTTAAAAGCATTTTAAAATGTTTAAAGAATGGATTCAGACACAACTAATAGAATTACCCGAGTAAATGCCCAGGCAAATCACTTTTTCTTTTTGAGCTACTGCTTTTTTTTTTTTTTTTTTTTTTTTTTTTTTTGAGAGTTTCGCTCTTGTCACCCAGACGAGTGCAATGGTGCAATCTAGGCTCACCGCAACCTCCGCCTCCTGGGTTCAAGCAATTCTCCTGCCTCAGCCTCCCGAGTAGCTGGAACTACAGGAGTGCACCACCATGCCCAGCTAATTTTTTTATTTTTAGTAGAGACGGGGTTTCACCTTGTTGACCAGGATGGTCTCGATCTCTTGACCTCGTGATCCACCCGCCTCGGCCTCCCAAAGCACTGGGATTATAGGCATGAGCCACCGCGCCCGGCCTTTTTTTTTTTTTTTTTTTTTTTAAGACAGTGTCATGCTGTCACCCAGGCTGGAGTGCAGTGGCATGATCTTGGCTCACTGCAACCTCCACCTCCCGGGTTCAAGTGATAAGTGATTCTCTTGCTTCAGCCTCCTGAGTAGCTGGGATTAAAGGCACCCACGACCACACCTGGCTATTTTTTGTATTTTTAGTAGAGACAGTTTCACCATGTTGGCCAGACTGGTCTTGAACTCCTGACCTCAAATGATCCACCCACTTCAGCCTCCCAAAGTGCTAGGATTACAGTGAGCTACTGCTTTCTAATCAGAAAATTCGGAATTCCAACACCTCCTTTTAGTCTTCTGACAGGCACCTAGGAAAAATCAAGTAGCTAGTGCAGATAGATCTAAGGAAGCCTTAGAAATATCATTTAAGGAGGCTCGGCACAATGGCTCATGCCCATAATCCCAGCACTTTGGGAGGCCAAGGTGGGGAGATCACCCAAGGTCGGGAGTTCGAAACCAGCCTGGCCAACATGGTGAAATCCCGTCTCTACTAAAAATACAAAAATTAGCTGGGCATGGTGTTGTGTGCCAGTAATCCTAGCTACTCAGGCGGCTGAGGCAGGCGAATCACTTGAACCTGGGAGGCGGAGCTTGCAGTAAGCTGAGATCGTGCCACTACACTCCAACCTAGGTGACAGAGAGAGACTCCGTCTCCAAAGAAAAGAAAAGAAATCTCCAGCTGGGCGCGGTGGCTCACGCCTGTAATCCCAACACTTTGGGAGTCCGAGGTGGGTGGATCACGAGGTCAAGAGATTGAGACCATCCTGGTCAACATGGTGAAACCCCGTCTCTATTAAAAATACAAAAAATTAGCTGGGCGTGGTGGCGCGTGCCGGTAATCCCAGCTACTCAGGAGGCTGAGGCAGGAGAATTGCCTGAACCCAGGAGGCGGAGGTTGCTGTGAGCCGAGATTGCGCCATTGCACTCCAGTCTGGGTAACAACAGCGAAACTCCGTCTCAAAAGAAAAAAAAAAAAAAAAAAAAGAAATCTCATTTAAGGAAAAGGCATTTGAATAAGAACAAAGGGCACATTTTCTGTAGAATGGTCTGTGGTATCCCAAGAAAGTTCATTTCCTTGCCCCTGTGGTCTTTAGACAAGGAAAATCCCAGACTTGGCACTGGTAAGAAAGAAGAGGGCGATGGAAAGGAAGGGAGAGAATTGTTAAACTTCTTGGCTGGAATTTAGAAACAAATAGTTCCTGAGCCTGGCATTGTCGAGACCAGCGTCAGGACCAGCCCAAGGAGCCAGACAAGGAACATTACCGTTACTGACTTGGCTCCACACATCGTTACTCAAGAGAAACTGGTGCGTAAGCAATATCCTGGAAGATGGGAGAGAAGCGTAACAACCACTGGGTGTGGACCTGTGGCTGCCTGTAGAGGCTTTCCTAGCCCTGAGTTTGTAGTCATACATTTTGACTCATTAAATTTCCAGAAATTCTTGCAAGATTGGGGCAATGCCAAATGGAAGCTAAAAGAAAACTAAAGTCTGGGAGTTGGAAACGCATTGGCCTCTGACCTCAAACTGTAGCCTCTCATTAAAATTCTAACACCAAACTCGGGTCAGTGAGCATCCTTGCTCTGAGATGTGGAAGTGACTTATTTTATTTGCCTATAAACATCTTTCAGCACCTGCACCAAATTGAAACTTGGCAGGCAAAATGAGGAAGGAGTGATACTTCTAAAAACTCATCCTATTTTTATGATTTGAAGCTTTTTATTCTTTACAGGGGTA